AGATTCCGGAGAGCAAGAAACCAAGGCTTGATACGGATGGCGTTGCCTCGGAAGTGGAGGCACCACCAGAGACGGCCCCAGTTGCTGCAGAGCCGGCGACGAAGAACCCGGCCCCACCAAAAGCGGGAAAGCAGAAGAAAGGCGAGGGCGGGGGCTCTTTCAAGGAGAACCCGTACACGTACCTCTCGCCCGACGACCCCGCCATCTTGAGCTGTGTGTATGTATCGTCACGCGTTCTACTTCGAGTTATTCTAATATCTGTACAGCTCGAGCCTACACCTCACGCCCGCCTTCCCCTCCTCCAACGTCCTCGTGCGCACCCCCGCCCCCGACGCCTCCGCCTCCACCGACTTATCCACGCCGCCGCCCCTGCGCAACCTCTACATCACCAACGACCTCGTCAAGCAGCTCGTGCAGCACAACGACTACAACCGCATCCGGCTCACCTGCGCCGGGACGAAGGTGTTCACGAAGCAGGAGGCGGGCCGGGGCGCGGAGGCGCAGTTCCGCGTCCTGGGCGAGGCGCTGCCGCTGGTGCTGCCGTATACGGACCCGGGGGCGATCGTGGCGGGCGATATGGCGGCGCTGAGGGTGCTGGTGGAGAAGGCGTATCCGCTGTGTGGGGCGTTTCCGGAGGGCGGGTTTAGGAGGGCGATGGTGGCGGGGCGTGAGTTTTTCTTTTCGTTGTGTGCGAGGTGGTTTGGTTTGATTTTGGTGCGGTGTATTTAGGGACGGGGAGCTATATTGTGCGCTTTGCGCGCGAGTTGGATGCGGTGTTGGTGTTTCTTCTTCCCTGGTTTCGTACCCTCGCGCTAATTGAGGCCGTGGGTAGGCTCTCGCACGACCTCATTCTGCCGATTTGGAAGTCCACCGCGTCGGTTACGCTCATGATCGACAAGAAGGCGAAAAGGTGGGTGTTGCGTTTGTTTGCGTTGCGTTTTGCGTTTGTTGCGTTGGATTTTGACACTCGTTTGTTGCATTGCGATTTGAAACTCACTCTGGGTTTTGGTAGTGCGTTGAGCATGCGCGTCTTTGGGAAAGACATCACGTCGCCGGTGAAGGAGAAAGCGCCGCGTGTAGCAGCAGAAGATGGGCCGGTGGTTGTCGCTCTGGAGGACGTCGAGGGGGATGGCGCTGAAGATGCGGAGGCTGAGGCGGAGGACGTCGTTATGGTCGACGCGTAAAATTGGCGATTGAACGCAAGATCTTGTAGCCTATTTGGCGGGCTGTATATATTCCGAAAAGTTGTGTATGAGCCCCAGTGTATAAGTTTGGTGCGAGGCGTCGAAGGTGGACCCCAAAAGAAATGGACGCATCCCTCAATTGAGCTTCCACCTCACAGCATACTCCGCCGATGCACTGCTACAAGAAGATTGATCAGTTACATATGTGTGTTACAAAGCGTGCTACAAGAGAAGTTCGAGTATAGTTACAGTTCCATTTGTCATATACAGCACACAGTCGATCGGTGTTCTGAACACATCGCAAAGTGTTCTGAACACATTACATCGCATCGCATCTCCCACCACCCGCATCACATCTCCCACCACCCACCGATCCCACCCCAGCGCTCCCACACGGGGGGGCTGTAGCGCTCTCGCACGCACGTCACGGTGTCACCGCGAAGGACGCGGAAGGTGGCTGCGGCGCGCCAGGAGACGGAGTGCAGCGTGGGGATAGCGGCGGCGTAGTGCGTCGCGCAGGCGAGGGGGGGGATGGGGCTGGGGCTAGGGTGGGTGAAGTGGAGGTGCCGGAGGGCGGGCGCGTGTGCGAGGAGCGCGGGGAGGAGGTCCTGGGGCAGTCGTAGTCGTAAGTACAGTACAAACAAGTTATAAAAAAAGAAAAGGGAGACCAAGAGAAAGAAAGCAGCGTACAAGTGTCCTGGGCGATACCCCGTCGCACGGCAGCGCGAGGTCCGTGAGGGACTCGAACGCAGCGAAGAACCGGCCCCCGTCGGCGCGGGGCGAGCCTGGCGAGGTAGGCGTCGAATTCGTGCGGGAGCCAGTGTTCCGCTTCGGACGGGGTGATGCCGATGCGCTGGATGGTGGGGGAGCGGATGCCGCGGAGGATGTGCCGGAATTGGTCGACGCCGAGGGAGAGGGTGGTGACCCATTGTTTGAGGGTGGGGGAGGGGGCGGAGTCCCGGACGTCCTGGTGCTGGTGAGTAAGTGACATGAGCGGAGGAGGATGAGGGCGTGGAAGGGAAGGGGCAGACCTCGAAGTAGTGCATGAGGGAGCAGGCGTCGGAGTCGTCGTATGTGGAGTCGGAGACGAGGTTGATTGTGGTGACGGTGTCGAAGAAGAGCGGGCGCTGGCCATGGACGCCGCGTGGGGGGGCGAAGATGAAGTCCAAGCCGGTGTTGTAGCTGGCATGCCCTGCAAAGCATCGTCTGGACGGGAGCAGCAGGCAGACCGGTGTGTCTACCGACCTTGATACGGGCCCTTGGGGTCGATTGCGTGTGCGCGCCAGAACTGCTCCGCGGGGCCGCCCTCCATCTCGATCACCTTGAGGTTCGCGCAGTAGCGCCAGAGCCGGGCGATGCCTTCGTGGTTGCAGAAGCGCGTGGCGATGTGCTGCAGCTTGGGCGCGGGGCGGTCCTCCATGTCGGTGTAGTCGCCCCAGGCGTCGGTGCAGCAGTCGACGCGGAGGCTGAGGAGGGTCGGGAGGTGCTGGACGGCGAGCTTGATGAGGTGGGAGTGCGTGGGGAAGCCGCGGGCGACGGGGCTGTTGGTGCAGCAGACGGAGGCGTGGGTCACGTTTGTGAGAAGGGGGAACACGTCGAGGAGGGCGCGCACGGCGGGGATCTTGACGTCACACAGACCGACGAGCGTGATGTTCAGCGAGCGGACGGCGCGGGCCTTGGTGGGCTCGGCGCAGAACGCGCGCAGGCTGCTGGCGAGTGCTCTGCTCTTCGCGCTGTCGTCGTGCCGGCCGTCGTCGACGGTGAGGGCGAGTTCGCGCCATGTGTACGGCCGGACAAGGGCAAGCAGGTTGTGGTTTCCGGCGAGACACAGACTGCGGAGAGAGTCGGCATCTGGAGCGAGGTGGTCGACGACGGCAGCGACGAGCTCAGGCGAGAAATCAAGCAGGGCAGGCATGGGGAAGGCAAGGTTAATTCAAGTCGCAGGATCCGTTCCCTTGAGCTTAAATGTGACGTCCATAGCTTCTTAGCGTGGGCGCCAGCTACTAGAAGGGAGAACGATAAGAATGGAACGAACGGAACCTGTTTGTGTGGCCAATTGGTGCCCCATGCCGGGGCCAGCGTGACGTGTGGCGGTGTCGACGCGTACCCTCTCTTCCATGCCTGTCGCAGTCCCCAAGAAGGTCCCCAGCGCACCGGGCGGCATAAAATCCTACTATCAGGCCAAGATAGAGGCCGCAGAACTCACCATCAACGAGAAGACACAGAATCTCCGCAGACTCGAGGCCCAGCGGAATGCTCTCAATGCACGCGGTGCGCCTCGTCTCACATCTGCCTTCTGCGTCTCTGACGTTGACACAGTACGTCTGCTACGCGAGGAGCTGCAGCTGCTCCACGAACCGGGCAGCTATGTCGGCGAGGTCGTCAAAGTAATGGGCAAGACCAAGGTCCTCGTCAAGGTCCAGCCCGAAGGAAAATACAGTGCGCCGCATTCACTTTCTCTGTATTCTACTCACCACCCGCGTCCCAGTCGTCGACATCGACTCGGAAATCGACGTCGCGTCCCTCACGCCCACCCTGCGCATCGCCCTGCGCTCCGACTCCTACACCATCCACAAAATCCTCCCCAACAAAGTCGACCCCCTCGTCTCCCTCATGATGGTCGAGAAGGTCCCCGACAGCACGTACGAGATGGTCGGCGGCCTCGACAAGCAGATCAAGGAGATCAAGGAGGTCATCGAGCTGCCCGTCAAGCACCCCGAGCTCTTCGAGGCCCTCGGCATCGCGCAGCCCAAGGGCGTCCTGCTCTACGGGCCCCCCGGCACGGGCAAGACGCTCCTCGCGCGCGCGGTCGCGCACCACACGGACTGCAAGTTCATCCGCGTCAGCGGGAGCGAGCTCGTGCAGAAGTATATCGGCGAGGGGAGCAGGATGGTGCGCGAGCTGTTTGTGATGGCGCGCGAGCACGCGCCGAGTATTATTTTCATGGACGAGATCGACTCCATTGGGAGCTCGAGGGGGGAGAGCGGGAGTGGCGGCGGGGATAGCGAGGTGCAGCGCACGATGCTCGAGTTGCTGAACCAGCTCGATGGGTTCGAGCCGTCGAAGAATATCAAGGTGATCATGGCGACGAATCGAATCGGTGTGTTCTAGTCGCTCTTGCTCGTCGTGACTATTCTGAGGGTGAGGGCGACGTAGATATTTTGGACTCGGCGCTCCTGAGACCAGGACGGATAGACAGGAAGATCGAGTTCCCGCCGCCAGGTCCCGAGGCGCGTGTGTCCATTCTGCGCATCCACTCGCGCAAGGTACGTCGCGGTCGCCCATCTCTGCTATTTTCCCCTCATTCAATGCATGCAGATGTCGTTACAACGCGGCATCAACCTGCGCGCGCTCGCAGAGAAGATGGGACAGTGCTCTGGGGCTGAAGTGCGGGGTATATGTACGGAAGCGGGTTAGTGGTCTCTTCGTCGCCCTTTCGTTTCTCCCTCGTCGCCCTTTTTTTCGTTTGTTTCTCCCCCGTCGCCCTTTCGTCTCTCTCATCGTCGCCCTTTCGTTTCTCCCTCCGTCGCCCTTTCGTTTCGCTCACCCCGACCCCTCACAGGCATGTACGCATTACGGGAGCGGCGACAGCACGTCACACAGGAGGACTTTGAGTTTGCGGTGGCGAAGGTTTTGAAGAAGAACCAGGAGGGGAACACGTCGGTTAATAAGCTGTTCTCGTAGAGTTAATGTGCAAATCGTGTTTTGCTCTCTTGCGGTTTCTTGCGTTGTACCGGTTTCGGCTGATGGGACGAGAAAAAGTAGCGGGATGAGGAAAATTAGTGGGTGGAAAAAAAAGGTGTCATCCAAAAAGAACTCTCGACCTGGGAGTCGAACCCAGCTCTCCCGCGCTCGACATCGGATGACAAGCGGGTGTACTGAACCGATATACTAGTCAAGACATATTCCTGTACTACTGACCAGGATACACTCACTACGATCCACAGACCTCTCATTCAAATCGGAGATCTCGACTCTTGAATTTCACAAGTACTGTTTCAGCTCCCGCGCAGAAATAATACCTAACCCAGCGGAGAAACGAAAGCTGTGGACAGTCGCCCATACGTGGCCTCCCAGCGCCCTTGAAAGCAGAAATGCAGGCTGAAACAGACGTTGGTGACTCGGACTGAAAGCTGAAGATACCATATCCGGTAATTCGGCATGTGGGACCTTCCGCTTATGCGGGCGTGCGCAAATCTGGCGTCCGTGCGTTAGTGGGAGACGTATTTGCCACATCACAGGTTTCGGTTTCAGACAGGTTTTCTCCCCCCCGTAGCGTACCCTCCCCCTGCCCTGCTGCTGCAGCTGCAGTTCAGGATGACTTCTGATGTGGAGATGGTAGAGCCTAGCAAGGCCCAGAGCGAGGTTGAGGACGACGAGGAGGAGGAGCAGCACGAGCACGAACACGAGGACGTCGGCGAGCAGGAGCACCCCGAGGGCGAGGAGGGCGACGTCGACCATGAGGTCGGGTACTCGTCCGAGTCGGAAAATTCGTCGGATAACGCGTCCGAGGACGACGTCGACAAGGACCTCGTCCCCGACGGGCACGACGACGCCGACGTCGTCATGGACGACGACCCCGACCCCGGTGTCCGCGCCGCCGCTATCCAGATTCCCGTGCTGGTGGACCCCGCGCCGACGACGCCGCCGCTGCCGACGTCCCCGCTCAGCGCCCCGCCGACGAGCGCCGCCAAGCCCGCCCCCGCGCCCGCACTGCCGCCGAAGAAGCCGAAGAGCCACCATGCGCCGCCGCCCCCGCCGCCCCCGCCGCCGCCCCCGCCGATGCAGACTATCCGCCTTGCGATTAGGCTTGGGGGGCCGGATAATTATGAGGTGGACGTTAAAAGGATGGCGCTGGAGGAGGGGTTAGTGTGGGGCGAGATTGGGGAGAAGAAGTATGCGGACGATAGTAGTGATGGGGAGGATGGCTCGGACGGCAGTGGGGATGAGAAGGACGGTGGCACGAAGGAGGGGAAGGAGAAGAAGGACGCGGACGGGGATGTGGAGATGGACGTGGACGGGGTATCAATTTTATTCTCTCATATATTATTGAGCACGCTAACTGGACGCGCGCAGAAACCCAAGCCGACAAAAAACCAAAGTCGAAGAAAAAGTCGAAGGCGACCGCCGAGTACTACGACACCAACGACCCGTTCATCGACGACTCGGAGCTCGCGATCGACGAGCGCACGTATTTTGCCCAGACGAAGCAGAAGGGCTTCTATGTGAGCAGCGGCGAGGTTGCGCTCGTCAGGGATAAGTATGCCACCCTGCGGCTCTCTACGTCTCAGCAAATTACTTATTGGTTTGTTCTGCTACAGATCCCCAAAAAGCCCAAATCCAAGAAAAAGGTGGGCCCGACGCTCTCGCTCAACCTCCCCACCGCGTCGACGTCCGCGCTCAAGCCGCTCTCGACCGCCGCTGCGCCGCGGAAGACCAAGTCCATGGGCGGTGCCGGGTCCAAGTCGGCGCCGGCGTCAAAGGTTGGTGGTGGGAAGGTCGCGAATGGGAAGGCGCTGGGGACGAAGGACAGCCCGATTGCGCTCGAGGACGAGGACGAGGGGGATGTGTTTGGCTTCGGGACGCAGGGCGCGGGCGGGAAGCGGGCGAGTGGGAGCGGGAGCGGAAAGGGGAAGGAGAAGGAGAAGGAGGGCGACGGCGGGGACGAGGCGGCGATTGCGGAGGGCGTGAATCGGATGAAGGGAAAGTGGAAGGAGCGCGTGTCGGTCAATGGCGGGAGCGTGAATGGGGACGCGGATGTGAAGGTGGAGGACGAGGCGGATGGGGAGGACGATGAGACGGGAAAGAAGAGGAAGCGCGGGGAGCCGGCGGGGGGGCTGAATTGTGTCGGGATAGACGGCGCGAAGAAGAGGAAGACGGTGGATATTGCGTCCTTCCACCCCGACCTGCAAGCGAGTATAGAGAAGCTGAAGCAGGCGATTGCTGCCGGTTCGTCCGCTTTTCGCCCATTTTTTTTGAGACTGGCCTCATCGCACGTCTAGAATCCTGGGAGCAAAAGTCCAAGTTCCCGCCAAATCTAAAGCCGCCGCTCGCCGCGCTGAGTCTGCAGGCGATCACACTTGACGAGTACGACGACAACTTCTTCAGCTTGATGCCGACCATTTTCCCCTACAATAAGTTTACCATGAGTGTCAGTCGCTTCGCAATTGGACCCTTTGCGTCACTGAACGTATTTGGATTTCAGAAACTGATAAACGGACAATCTTCCACGACCATACGGCGCTGCTGAACCAGAAGCAAGACGAGCTGCTGGAGCAGCTGCGGACACTGGCGACGGATGGCTTCCACAAGGCGCAGGAGGAGTGGGAGAAGAGTTTGCAGAATTATGGCGAGTCCCCGTCTTGAACCTTGAAAAGTAATGCTTATGTGCGCAGAGGATAAACGAAAAGAAAAGGCGTTAGCGGCGGTGAATGGTGGGGGGGACCCGGAGAGCGTGGAGGGGTCGACGGGGCCGACGCGGCATGGCACGGAGGACCCTGAGGCGCCGGGGCGGGAAAGCGCGGGGCCATCGTCTGCGGGCGACGGGAAGGGCGACAAGGAGGAGAAGGATGGGGGCGGGAAGGATGGAAATGCGAAGGAGGGCCCGGGGAAGGGCGGTGCGCACCATGGGCCGCCACTGAAGAAGTATCGAATGACGGAGTCGATGAAGCAGACGGTGTGGCAGCTTGTATTGCTGAGCAATGAGATTTGTAGGCTGGAGAATGAGAAGAAGTACGTTGCGCTTTTCTGCTGCGTATGTGGAATTGGTACTGACCGATGAGCGGGTAGCTCGCTTGAGGGAAGTGTGTTGCAGGTTAGCGAGCAGGGGTTGAGGAAGGTTCTGTACCAGCGCGTAAGTCGTTCATTTGTACGAAGCTGTATGGATGTTGACAAAAATGCAGATTGTAGCTGCATTCCCAGAAGGCTGGATGTCCTCAGGTCAGATCTCCAGAGACGGTGCGTTTCCCTACTGCGTTTCTCGCAAACTGTTTTCAACGCAGTGCAGTGAGCGCGATGAAGAAAAAGTACGAGAAGGAGGTCGCAGACGACTGATTAGCTTTATACATAATATTTATTCCTATTGTAGTATTGTCGCCGTTGCCCAGTGCGATTGTGTGTACTTAAGTATGTACTTGGGAGAGAGGAAACGGTGAAACCGGGTATTGGATATCCGACGGCTTACATAAGAGTATCACTTTCGTTTCTTACTACGATGGGCTCGCCTCCCAAGCCATGGGAGCGCAATGGGGTCACTGCTGCATCAGCACCTTCTGTGGCCCCGTCACTTGCATCCTCGACGCCTTCTGTTTCAACAGCGCCTTCGATTCCTGAGCGTCCTGCATCTTTCAACGCACCAACAACTTCTCTTTCGACTCCGTATGGCGCTTCGCTGTATGGCACGTCTCCCTACTCTAGATTCGCCGGCGCATATGGGGGCGGCGGTTACGGCGGCCTTGGATCATATGCAGGGGGCTACGGCGGAGGCTACGGCGGAACGATGGGCTACGGCGGCGGGTACGGGATGAGCCCGTATTCGTCGATGGGAATGGGCATGTCCCCGTACGGAATGGGAATGAACGGCATGGGGATGGGCATGAACGGCGCGGGCATGCCCCTCGACCCCAACGGCATGCCCATTCCCTCCCTCACACAGACCCTCGAGTCCACGACACAGCACACATTCCAGCTTCTCCACTCCATCGTCCAGACCTTCTCCGGCGTCGCCCAGATGCTCGAGAGCACCTTCATGGCCACCCACTCCAGCTTCTTCGCCATGGTCGGCGTCATCGACCAGTTCGGCCACCTGCGCAACGCCCTCGGCAGCGTGCTCGGGCTCTTCGGCCTCATGCGCTGGATGCGCGAGCTTCTCACTGGCTCACCGGCCGCACGTCAAGGCATGCAAGGCGAGTTCCGCGAGTTCGTCAACGGGCGTCCAGTGCAGGGCCCGCACCCGCAGGCGCCGCCGGGTCCAAAGCCGAGTAAGAAGCCCCTCATCATCTTCCTCCTCGCCATCTTCGGCATCCCGTTCGCCATGACGAAGCTCGTGCAAATCCTCAACGAGCGCGCGCGTAATAACGCTGCAGCAAACGGCGGCCTTCTCCCCGGCCAGCCGCTTCCTCCACTCGACCCCGCAGCGCTCACCTTTGCGCGCGCGCTGTATCCGTTCACGCCGACGACTCCGTCGGAGCTTGCGCTCAAGGAGAATGAGATTGTCGCGATTATGGGCAAGCTCGATCCGAGGACGGGGACCGAGGTCGACCCTCGCACGCAGATCGAGAACGAGGAGGCTGTGCAGTGGTGGAAGGGCAGGACGCGTGAGGGACGCGAGGGGTGGTTCCCGCGCAGATGGGTCGAGATTCTCGAGAAGAAGGAGAAGAAGATCGACTAGTTTCATGTTGTATTCCCCTCACAGTACAGTAATCATTTTCCAGCGCCTATAAAGGTCCATAACTACACACCCACCTACACAAAAGTTTCATATTCGGCCACCGCGCGTGAAGTAGTGCACCAAATGCAAGAAAAAAAATAGTAATTATTATTTTTAAGTATGCTGTGCCGAAGCTGCCGTGATCAACGGCCGGAGTTGGCCGCACCGCAAAGTTGTACAGTTTCGTTTCGCACGCCCATAGCATCACGTGCCTCTTCCTCTCTTTCTGCCCACCTTCGTCGCCGCCAGCAAGATGGTCAACATCCCCAAGTGCGTTCTGCCCAGCTCGGACGGTATTTTGCACTGACCTCTCGATCTAAGGACTCGCAGGACATGTAAGTTTCGGCGCGTTTGGAAATTTGAGTCGCAATTTACGGGCCGACAGACTGCAAGGGCAAGCCCTGCAAAAAACACACGTAGGTCTTGTTCTTCATGCATTTGGAATCCTCTGGTTGCCCTCCGCTGCGACTCGC